GATCTGTAGATCTTTTATACAGTAATATATAGCTATGTGTCACTTATGTAAGTAAATACATTAATCTAAAAAAGATTATTTTTTTCTCACCCCACTGTCCACACATGCTCATTATGGGGGAAAAAGCAGGAAATATAGGTATGGAAAAGAAGGTGACTTCCAGTAACATGTTGGTGCAAATTCTTCCAGCTTTCCCAAATAGATACTCAGACGAACCAGAGAGCTCTGCCATGTTTGTCTAATATGTTTGCTTTCTACTTTCCAACTGAAGACAGATTAATAAGGGAGAAGAATGTCCAGGACAACTAGAATATTCTCTGTTCTCAGAGAATAGTGTGGGAAACTGGTTGTTTTGTTGTTGTTGCCATTTTGAGATGGAGTCTCTCTCTGTCGCCCAGGCTGGAGTGCAGTGGTGCCATCTTGGCTCACTGCAACCTGCACCTCCTGGCTTCAAGTGATTCTCCTGTCTCAGCCTCCTGAGTAGCTGGGATTACAGGCAGGCGCCACCAGGCCTGGCTAATTTTTGTATTTTTAGTAGAGATGGGGTTTCACCATGTTGGCCAGGCTGGTCTCAAACTCCTGACCTCAAGTGATCCACCCACCTCAACCTTCCAATGTGCTGGGACTACAGGCATGAGACACCATGCCCAGCCAAAAATAAATTTTTTTGAGACATGGTCTTATGCTGTCACCCAGGCTGGAGTGCAATGGCATGATCATGACTCTGTAGCCTCAACCTCCTGGGCTCAAGTAGTCTTCCTAGTTATGGGAATTCATAGTGAGTTCAGAAGCAGACTAACTATACTACATACCCTCATTTGTCCTAGTAATCAACTAGTTAACTAAACACTCCTTGCTGAATGAAATCACACGAGGTCTATGGTAATGTGAAGGTACCTGATGGCTGGGGTGAACATGAGCTTCCTCATGAGGCAGAATTGACAGACATGGACAGTGGATTGGTTTGCGGAGGGTGGGAGGGGAGAAATAAGAGGCTTCTGAGGTTCCTTGCTGGGTACCTAAAGTTTCATAATGCAGAAATAAGAAAGCTAGTTTTAGGAACAAGATAATGGGTTTGGATTGAGCAGGTTGAGCTTGGGATATGGTAGTCATACAGTGACCAGAAGCCTTTCTGGAGCTTAAAAGAGGGTCGGAGAGGGAGCCACAAATGTCGAGTTCAACAACCAGAGATGGCTGTTGAGATGGAGAACGTATACACTGCCACCAAGGGCAAGAGTACAGGCAGAGGAGGAGAGAGTCGTGGGCGACCTTGGGAAACATCTCCACTTCAGAGGCAGGAACAAGAAAATAAGCTGGTGATGACAAGAAGAAGGTGCCATCAAAGGCTGGCAAAGATTAGGGGAGTGAGAGTCAGGATCCACAGGGAAGTTGTATGTTGTATTCAACAACTTAAAAGCAATGACAGAATTACAGCCTGGATCATTAAGGTGCCATTGAATATACTCCCATTAACACATTGGAGCCAGGGCTGGTCAAAGCAAGAAATGAAAATACAGCAGCCCCCAATTGGCTGCAAGGACCCAAAATCTGTAGCTCTGGCTTTGCTTGCTCTCTTCCATGTGATCTTGGTGTGGGAGTGGGAACAGGGGGAGGCAGGCTCTCCAGGGTTGTGTACTAGTGGTTGGCTGTGCACATTAGACTGCCATTTGGCAGGCAGGGAGCAACACGTCAACCCCACATACCACAGTATGTCCCAGAAAGTGGATCGATGTCACAACAGATGGGATGTTGGCCCTGACCCCCCAAGCAGAGACTCTACGATTGCTGGAGTAACATATACCCATCTCTAGTCCTTCCTTTTTTCTTTCTTTTTTTCCTTCCTTCCTTCCTTTCTTTCTTTCTTTCTTTCTTTTTCTTTCTTTCTTTCTTTTTTTTTTGAGACGGAGTTTCGCTCTTGTTACCCAGGCTGGAATGCAATGGCGCGATCTCGGCTCACTGCAACCTCCGCCTCCTGGGTTCAAGCAATTCTCCTGCCTCAGCCTCCCAAGTAGCTGGGATTATAGGCATGTGCCACCATGCCCAGCTAATTTTTGTATTTTTAGTAGAGACAGAGTTTCACCATGTTGACCAGGATGGTCTCGATCTCTTGACCTCGTGATCCACCCGCCTCAGCCTCCCAAAGTGCTGGGATTACAGGCTTGAGCCACCACGCCCGGCCTCTTTCTTTCTTTTCTTCCTTCTTTCTTTCTTCCCTCCCTCCCTTCTTTCTTTTCTTTCTTTCTCTTTTCCCTTCCTTCCTTCCTTCCCTCCCTCCTTCTCTCTCTCTCTCTCTCTCTCTCCTTCTTTCCTTCCTTCTTTTCTTTCTTTCTTCCTTCCTTCCTTTCTTTCTTTCTTTCTTCCTTCTTTCTTTCTTTCTCTTTCTTCTTTCTTTCTTAAGTTTTGCTCTTGTTGCCCAGGCTGGAGTGCAATGGCATGATCTCAGCTCACCACAACCTCCTCAAGTAGCTGAGATTAGAGGATGTGCCACCACACCCAGCTAATTTTGTATTTTTAGTAGCGATGGGATTTCTCCATGTTGGTCAGTCTGATCTTGAACTCCCGACCTCAGGTGATCCGCCCGCTTTGGCCTCCCAAAGTGCTGGGATTACAGACATGAGCCACCGTGCCCCACCCAGCTTCCCCTTTTCTAAGTGAGCATTCACTTCCCAGGAGGCTTTTCTATTAGTTTCACTAAACCCTCTCTTTAAATATGTGTGTATTCCCTCTGCATCTCTGCACCATGGCAATTTAGATAATTTTTTGGAGTTATTTGCTTTACAAATACTCTCCAGCTTCACAAGCCCTTTTCCTCAATCTAGGACATATGAATGATGTCTTCCCTTTCCTTTGTGTTCTCAGCTCAAGATATAGAGAGCAGGCACTTGAAAAACATGAAGGGAGAAAATAAGTAAAACTGTCCTGCACTGTGGTTATATCTAGCCTAGAGCACTAGGGAGTTTCTCAATAACCCCAGTCACTTCCTGTCTTAGCTGTCTAAATGCACCTCACCCAGCAGATTTCTTCAAAATTTATTCCGTCCAACTCATGCCCACAGGCAACAAGACCAAATAATGATGCAGAGCTCCAAAGCAAATTATTGTTAACTGGCCCTTTGCCCTGATTGCTACATCTGAATGACAAAGCACTGATATCTAGATATACTTGTGGTATATACTTGGCTGTGTCCCCACCCAAATCTCATCTTGAATGGTATCTCCCATAATTCCCATGTGTTGTGGGAGGGACCTGGTAGGAGATCATTGAATCTGGTAATTCCCCCCCATACTGTTCTTGTGGTAGTGAATCAGTCTCACAAGATGTGATGGTTGGCAAGGGGAAGCCCCTTTTGTTTGGCTCTCACTTCTCTCAGACTGCCGCCATGTAAGATGTGCCTTTCACCTTCCACCATGATTGTGAGGCCTTTCCAGCCACATGGAACTGCGAGTTCATTAAATCTCGTTGTCTTCATACATTCTCCAGTCTTGGGTGTGTCTTTTTTTTTTTCTTTTTTTCAGACAGAGTCTCACTCTGTTGCCCAGGCTGGAGTGCAATGGCACAATCTCAGCTCACTGCAGCCTCTACCCACTAGGTTCAAGCAATCCTCCTGCCTCAGCCTCCTTAGTAGCTGGAATTACAGGTACCTGCCACCACACCCAGCTAATTTTTTATTTTTAGTAGAGACTGGGTTTCACCATGTTGGCCAGGCTTATCTCAAACTCCTGAGCTCAAGTGATCCACCTGCCTCGATCTCCCAAAGTGCTGGGATTACAGGCGTGAACCACCACACCCAGCCAGCCGTGTCTTTATCGCCAGTGTGAAAACAGACTATTACAACTTGTGAGCAGCTGGCCTCTGCCAAATGGACCAACACTGGGCACTGGGTAACAAGCTGGTATTGAGGGAGAGCTCAGGCCTGGGGTCCTTCCTCTCCCTCCCTGATGCCAGGATAGCTGAGCCTGTCGATAACCACAATCATGATCTTAACTGTAACACAATCACCAGCTTCCACTCTACACTTGTGCAAGGCCAGGCGGCTCCCAGAGAACTTTCGTCTGTGCTGCTTCATTTGAGTTTCATGACAGCCTTTGACTCAGCCAGGACGGCAATTTTTGATACCTATTTTATACAGAAAGAAACGGAATATTCATAGCAGCACTGTTCCTAATAGCCAAAGGTAAAAACAACCCCAAAGTCAATCAGCTGACATTTGGGTTGTTTATCAAAGGTCAATTGGTTATCCCAATGGATAAACCAAATAGGATATATCCATAGAATGGAACACTATTCAGCCCTGAAAAGGAATGAAGAACCGACGTCTGCTGCAGCATGGGTGAACTTCGTAAACACTGTGCTAAGTAAAAGAAGTCAGCACAGGAACGGAGTGGGCCACGGTCTGCAGGGCACCATGGCCAAGTTTTATTGTGACTACTGCGATAGATACTTCCCCCATGACTCTCCGTCTGTGAGAAAGACACTGCAGTGGTAGAAAACACAGAGAGAATGTGAAAGACTGTCAGAAATGGATGGAAGACCAGGCTCAGAGCCTGACTGACCAAACAGCGGCTGCACTCTGACAAGGAAAGATACCTCCTACTTCATTCACTGCTCCTCCTCCTGCAGGGATGGTGATACCAGCTCCCTCCCATCTTCCGGGTCCTCCTCACCCTGGTATGATGCCAGCACCCCATATGGGGGCCTGTTCCATGTTGCCAATGATGGGCCCTCCTCCTCCTGGGGTGATGCCAGTGGGACCTGCTCCTGGAATGAGGCCGCCCATGGGAGGCCATATGGCAGTGATGCCTGGGCCCCCAGTGATGAAACCTCCTGTCCATCGCATGATGGCACCTACTCAGCCCAGAATGACCTGACCAGACAGATAAGGATAGAGGGGAGGCCTCATTCTATCAGTTTTACATGACCTGTTCTGCTTCACCAGGAGATCATGCTGCTGTGATGTAAGTTTTCTTTTCTTTTTTTTTTTAACTATATTAAATGTCTGTAATTGCTGAATGCCTCTTTGGCTAATATTTGGAAGATCATTATTTAGTCCTACAACTGACGCATTGCTCCACTTTCCCATCATTTTGTTTGCAAACCACTAAAAGTCTTATTTCCTCATCTTTTTGACACATACCAAAATGGACCCTATGCTGTAATCACACAGGATAATGTTGCAAAGTATGAATATCTAAATTGTTTTTAAAAGATATTTTTTTTTCCTTCTGTTTTCGAATCATTTCTGACAGTTTCTAAAGACATGGTCACAGTTGCCTGACTCATGTCTTCTTCACTCATGGCATCACCTAGACCACTCCCAAGAGCTCCTGAACTGGTGGTTGGCCTTTCACATGGAGGTGAACTCTGTCCTGATGGGTCCCACTGCTGCTGTTGCTGTTTTTCAAAGTAGGCTTCTCGTCTCTTCCGAAGCTCTTCTGAAGTAAGATTTGTACCTCATGTCTGTGGAATATCTTGAGATATATTTCTGGAACTACCTTAGCTGAAGAGCCCCGTGGAGATCTGCTTCTTCACCTTCCATGTCAATTTCTTGGCGGCTTAGTGCCAGAGCCCTCTGCAAATCCTCCTCACCTTCATCTAATATTCCTGAGCCATCATGTGCTTCTAACACTCGTTCCAGGTCTGTTTTATGAACTCTTTGCTCTTTTAGTTGTGCTAATTCTTCTCCAATAAGTTTTGGTCGATGCATCTGTTGGACCCTAATCATCTGTAGAAGTTGGACAGCTTCACAGTCTGGCAGATCACCCTTAACAACAAATATAGAATAACCTCCCTGTTGTAACTGAGCCAAGAAAAGTGCAAGATATGTATCTGATATTAATTCTGGACCCGTCAAGAGAGAATTCAAGTTAAACCGCTGTTTTCCTAATTTTCTAACTGTAAACCAGTGTTCCTTATAATTGTATATAAATGATCTTTCATTTATAGGATCGATCCTGAGCCTCTGATACTTGGGACTGTTGAACAGGATTAGTTCTAAACCCCAAACTTTCAAGGCATTGCTTATAACCTGGATAGAGAAGAAATCATATTTCCTGTCATCCATATTTCCAGAAGGCTGCCGTAAAAATGTGCGATAATCTTCACTAGTAACTCTTCCTTCTGCCATTCTCATCCTTTCTTCCTCATCCAGCTGATGTGCAATTGAGGATAATTTCACAGGGCTAAAATATTCTCCTTGCAATAAATTATTCAGGCAATGTTGAGCACAAAGTGAGCCTTCTCGTTTCTCGTGGAAGATGGACTCCATGTTTATTTGTCTCGATGTAGGTTTTCTAAACAGGATAAGGAAGACTTGCTCCCTGGTCCTATCAAAGAGAATAGTTTTGGAGGGAAGAGGTGGGGCAAAAAAGATGTAGTTTTCATTTGTATTGGGAAATGTGAAAATAAAATTGTCAACTCTTTTAGTTAAAAAAAAAAAGTCAGCACAAAAGGTCACATGTTGTATGATTCCTTTTGTATGAAATAGATAGAATAGGCCAATCTATGAAGACAGAGAAGAGATTAGTGTTTGCCAGGGACTAGGGGAAGGAAATGATGGAAAATGACGGCTGGTGGATCTGGTGTTTCATTTTGGGGGGATGAAAATATTTGGATAGAGATGATAATTGCAGAGCACTGTGAGTGTACTAAGGCCCCTGAAGTATATTTGTTAAAATGGTTAAAATGATGAATTTTATGTTACATAAACTTTAAAGCAAGTTTTTTTGCTGTTGTTGTTGAGATAAGATCTGGCTCTGTCCCTCAGGCTGGAGTGCAGTGGTGTGATCTTGGTTCACTGCAACCTCCACCTCCCAGACTCCAGTGATCCTCCCACCTCAGCCTCCTGGGTAGCTGGAACTACAAGCATGTGCCACCAGGCTCAGCTAATTTTTGTAGAGATGAGGTTTCACTGTGTTGCCCAGGCTAGTCACGAACTCCTAGACTCAAGCAATCCATCCACCTCAGCCCCTCAAAGTGCTGGGATTACAGGCGTAAGCCACCACACCCACCTCATGTACACACATTTTGTGATGTTTATATAATGATGAAATGGCCTAATGATGCATTGCTTAGACTGTGTCCCTGCCATTAAGTGACACATGACTGCATATATTTGATTTATGTGAAAGTGATACCTCAGAGCTGTGTGGTAAAGAGTGGTCTTTTCAACAAGTGTTGCTGAATAGATTGGATACATACATGGAAAAAAATACTAATCTTGACCCATGCCTTACATCATACTAAAAAAATCAATCCCAAGTTGATTTTAGATCTAAATATGAAAAGTGAAACAATAAAGCTTCCAGAAGAAAAGTATATATAGAAGAAGATATTTATAATTTGGGGTTAGTCAAATATTCCTTAAACAAGATGCAAAAAGCCATAATCATAAAATAAAAGACAGATAAACTACTTTAAATTGTAACAAAGTGTACCTCAGCCAGGTACAGTGGCTCATGCCTGTAATCCCTGCGCTTTGGGAGGCCCAGGTGGGTGGATCACAACACCACTAAAAGAGAAAAAGGCAAGCCATGTTTGGTACAAAATATTTGCAATACACATAACTAAAATTTGTATTTGGAAGAGATGAACTCATATTAATTGATAAGAAAAAAGACATAAAAGTTAGAAAAATGAGGCTGGGCACAGAGCTCATGCCTGTAATCCCAGCACTTTGGGAGGCTGAGGTGGGCGGATCACCTCAGGTCAGGAGTCCAAGACCAGCCTCGCCAACATGGCAAAACCCTGTCTCTGCAAAAATACAAAAATTAGCTGAGTGTGGTGAAAGACGCCTGTAATCCCAGCTACTCAGGAGGCTGACATGGGAGAATCGCTTGAACCCGGGAGGCGAAGGTTGCAGTGGGCAAAGATCACGCCATTGCACTTCAGCCTAAGTGACAGAGTGAGACTCCGTCTCAAAAAAAAAAAAAAAAAAAAAATTGATAGGAAAATGGACAATAGGGATAACCAACTAAATACAAGTATTCAGTCTCAGCCACTGAGGATATGCACATTTAAATCACAATGAGATACCAATATTTACCCACCAGGATGGCTACAAAATTGTCTTTAGGCTGTTAAAACTGAATGTGGCAAGGACATGGAAAAATTGGAACTCTGATATACTGCCGATGGGAGTATAATACATTACCTACTCACGGCTGGGCGTGGTGACTCACGCCTGTAATCCAAGCGCTTTGGAGGCCAAGGCGGGCAGATCACCTGAGGTCAGGAGTTCAAGACTAGCCTGACCAACATGGGGAAACCCCGTCTTAAAAAAAAAAAGAAACATTACCTACTCAGGTGAACACAGACAAGTCCACTCATAGGTATCTACCTGACAGAAATGCATTCAAATTAAAAAAATGTACAAGCATATTTATAGCAGCACTTCATAGCCCCAAGCTTAAACAACCCAAAGGTCCATTGATAATAGAATGGATAAATTAAGCATGTCATGTTCATGTACCAGAATACTATTCAGAAATTAGAATGTGGAAATTACTATGATACCAAACAACATAAACAGATTTCACAAACATGAGGATAAGTGAAAGAAGGTAGTTAAAAAGGGTATACACTGTATGATTCTATTTATATAAAATTCAAAAGTAGACAAAACTCATGTATGATGTTAGAAATCAACATGGTGGTTTTCTTTGAGGAAGAGGCAGTCACTGTGAAAAGGCCTGAGGGAGACTCTGTGGGGCTGTTTGTGTTCTAGCTCCTCAGATGTGTATGCTCACGTTGTGACAATTCATTGACCTGTACACTGATGGTTTGTGTACTTTTCTCTATGGATATCAGACATCAACAAGAAGCTTATTTAAAAAGAAATTGTATACTTTTTACATTTTTTATTTTTATTTTATTTTTTGAGACAGAGTCTCACCCTGTCACCCTGGCTGGAGTGCAGCAGCGTATTCTTGGCTCACCAAAACCTCCGCCACCTGGGTTCAAGCAACTCTCCTGCCTCCATCTCCCGAGTAGCTGGGATTACAGGCCTGTGCCACTATGCCTGGCTAATTTTTTTTTTTTTGTATTTTTAGTAGAGACAGGGTTTCACCATATTGACCAGACTGGTCTCAAACTCCTGACCTTGTGATCCACCCACCAGGGCCTCCCAAAGTACTGGGAATACAGGCGTGAACCACTGCGCCTGGCAAAAGAAATTATTTATAATAGAAAAACAATACAGGATACTTAGGAATTCATTTAACACATATATGAAAATCCTATATGCAGAAACTTTGACCTTTATGGAATTATGTTACATATGGCCTGGATGAATGAGTGGAGACATAGCTCAGGTACATAAATAGGAAGGCTCCGTATTACAAACTTTTATTTTATTTTGAGAAAGGATCTTACTCTGTTGCCCAGGCTGGAGTGCAGTGGTGTGATCATAGCTCACTGTGGCCTTGACTTCTGGGGCTCAAGTGATTTGCCTGTCTCAGCCTCCTGAATAGCTGGAACCACAGGTGCATCAAAATCACACTCAACTAACTTTTTGTATTTTTTTTTTCTAGAGATGGGTTCTTGCCATATTGCCCAAGCTGGTCTTGAACTTCTGGGCTCAAGCAATCCTCCCACCTCGGCCTCCCAAAGTGCCCGGATTACAGCTGTGAGCCACTGGGCCTGGCTTCAAATATATTAATCCTCTCCAAATTAATCTATGGATTCAATGCAATTGCTTTCACCATCCCAATAGGCTTCTTCACAGACATTAGCAAAATGGTTCTAAAGTTTATGTGAAAAAAATAAAAATCTGAGTATAAACAAAGACACTTAAAGAAGAACAGGGTGTGAGCATCAGCCTTACCAGACAGCAACTTATTACTAAAGCTACAGTAGTTAAGACAATGTTATATTAGCAAAGGGAGGGACAAATCCGACCTTTAGAAGGATATAGAAGATGCCCCAACGGTACCATAAAGAGATCGAATTTTATTGTATGTAAATTATCTCCTACATAGTATTTCTAGTTCTAGATCCTTGAGGAATCGCCACAAAATGACCTGGTATGTTTAGGTCTCTTTCTGTTCTGTTTTGTTCCATTGATCTATGTGTTGCTCCTGATGCAAGTACTACACTGTCTTGAATATGGAGCTTTATACTAAAGCTTGAAGTCAGGAAATATAAGTCATACAAGTTTGTTCTTCTTTCTCAAGATTGCTTTCAATATTCTAGGTCCTTTACATTTTCGTATAAATTTTAAAAGCAAGTTAAAGTTCTTAAAAAAAAAAAACAAAAACCCAGTGGGGTTAGCATGGTGGCTCACACCTGTAAATCCCAGCATTTTGGGAGGTCGAGGTGAGTAGATTACCTGAAGTCAGGCATTCGAGACCAGCCTGGTCAACATAGTGAAACCCCACCTCTATTAAAAATACAAAAGTTAGCCAGGTGTGGTGGCGCATGCCTGTCATCCCAGCTATTTGTGAGGCTGAAGCAGGAGAATCACTTGAACTCGGGAGCTGGAGGTTGCAATGAGCTCAGATTGTACCACTGCACTCCAGCCTGGGTGACAGAGTAAGACTCTGTCTCAAAAAAAAAAAAAGAAAGAAAGAAAGAAACCAAACAAAAACTAGTGGCTAGCGGGATTATGATTGGAATTGTGTTGAATCATTAGATCAATTGGAAGAGAACTTAGATCTTAATATTGAGTTATGCAATATATGAACTTGGAATTTGGTGTATCCATGAATTCCATTTGTTAAGATATTCTTTCATTTCTCAGCAGCATTTTTGTAGTTTTCGGTTAGAGGTTTTAGATGATTTTTGTCAAATGTATCCTTGCATACTTTATGGGTTTTGACACTATTATAAATGAAATTCTAAAATGTTATTTTCCAGTTGTTTGTTACTAGTGGTTAAAATATAATTGATTTTGATATTTTGACCTTGGGCCTATGGACTTGCCAAATTTACTTATTAGTTCTAGTTGTTTTGCAAATTGGTTAAGATTTTCTATGTAAACTATCATGGTATCTGCAAGCAAAAAGTTTTCCTCCTTCATTTCTTCTTGTTTCTTTCTTACATTTGAAGCTTTATTTTTGTTGTTTTTTTAATTATATTTTAAGTTCTGGGGTACATGTGCAGATCTTGCAGGATTGTTACATGGGTATACACATGCCATGGTGGTTTGCTGCCTCCATCCCCCTGTCATCTACATTAGGTATTTCTCCTAATATTATGCCTCCCCAGTCTCCCCACCCCCTGCTATCCCTTCCCTAGCCCCCCACCCCTCAACAGACCTCAGTGTGTGATGCTTCCCTCCCTGTGCTCATGTGTTCTCATTGTTCAACATCCACTTATGAGTAAGAACATGCAGTGTTTGGTTTTCTGTTC